ATCTCCAGCATCGCATTCAGGTCTATTTCCGGCGGCACTGCCAGCACCTAGGTAGTCAGCTGCTGCAGCAGGGGCAGCAGCAGCAGCAGCAAATGCTGCTGCTGCTGCCGCCAAAAGAAGTGGAGGAGCTCCTGAGCGGGGAGAAAAGTGCCCAGTCAGACGCCGCTGCTGCTGCAGCCTTTGTAGACGCGTGCGAGCAACAGCGACAGCGCGACAGGCAGCAGCAGCAGCAGCAGCAACAGCAGCAGCAGCAACAGCAGCAGCAGCAACAGCAGCAGCAGCAGCAGCAGCAGCAGCAACGGCAGCAGCAGCAACGGCAGCGAAGCCTGGTAGAGGCACTATCCGACTGCAGCCGTTGTGTGGTGTACGAGATAATGGCCTCGCGCCCTGTGCAGCAGGGCTCTGCGCCCGCCTCAGCAGCAGCAGCAGCAGCTGCTGCTGCTGCTGCTGCTGCTGCTGCAGCAGCAGCAGGGCAGCCCGCAGCAGAGGTGGGCGGCGGCTACCTCTGCATGCACCTGAGCGAGCGGGGCTTTCTGGAGGCGCTGACGCACGCGCGGCTGTGGGAGTTTTTGTTTCTTTACTTGCGGTGGGGAGCAGCAGCAGCAGCAGCATTTTTAAATCTTTATGACGAGCTGCCTTTTGCTGCTGCTTGGGACGGCTTCCTGCAGGCATTTCCGGGGCGGACTCGCTGGCGGGGTTTGCGGCCTCTGCAGCAGGAGATTGCGCTGTCGGGGGACCCCGCTGCAGCAGCAGCAGCAGCTGCTGCTGCTGCTGCTGCTGCTGCGCCGCGGGCCTCGCCGCTCTGGGCCTGGAGACCCAGACTCTGCCGCCTCAGCAGCAAAGACTGCTGCAGCTTCAGGGGGCAGCTGTTTGCTGCGCTGCTGCGGGACAGCACCCGCCTGCACTGCCTGCGGCGGGGCAGCTTGATGGAGAGCAGCGTGCTGCAGCAGCAGCAGCAGCAGCAGCAGCAGCAGCTGGTGCAGCACTGGGAAGGGTTCGCTGATGTCGGCCACCTGGCGGACAGAAGCGTCCGCGGAGCGAGGGCCGGCGCAGCAGCGCGGCGCAGCAGCAGCAGCAGCAGCAGCAGCAGCAGCGAAGACACGGGAAACCTCTCTGAAGACCTAGATGACTGCATGCAAGTGCTGCCAGCCCCTTCCCCTCACCAAGGCAGAGACCGTTTGCTGCTGCAGCTGCAGGTCAACATAGCAAACAGCCAGGCCGTGCGCTCCTTGCTGCAGCAGAATCTTCCGCGCAGGGGCCGCGCTGCAGCAGCAGCTGCTGCGGTTGCAACAGCAGCAGCAGCAGCAGCTGCTGCTGCTGCTGCTGCACGGACAGGCTTTCGCGTCTCGCACGGAAGCCGCACCTCCGTCACCATCAGACAGTCAATCCTGCCCGCTGCTGACAGTGAAGCGCAGCAGCAGCAGCTGCTGCAGCAGCAGCAGCAAGACGGTCTCAGCGGCGCGGGGCTGCAGCAGGAGACAGTTCTCTCGCTGTGGAGGACCCCATCAGAGGCTCTGCTGCGGGAACAGAGGCAGCACCAGCAGCAGCTGCGCCTCAGCAGCAGCAGCAGCACCGGAAATATCGGCAGCAGCAGCAACGGCAGCAGCAGCAGGGGCCAGTGCGCCTACCGGCGACCCTCAACTATTTACCCGCCACTCTTCAGACGCAGCAGCAGCACCCTTGGCCGTCAGGGCAGCAGCAGCAGCAGCTTGGCCGTGCTGGCAACTCCCAGCTTGCTGTTAGCTCCTGAGCAGCAGCAGCAGCAGCAGCAGCAGCAGCAGCAGCAAAGACGGCGCCGCACTGCCATTTACTTCGGGCTGGCTGACCTGCGCGAAGCCACTGTGCAGCTGCACGGATATCCTGCAGTAGAATCTTTCTCTGCAGCTTTCCAGCAGCAGCAGCAGCAACAACAACAGCAGCAGCAACAGCAACAACAGCAGCAGCAGCAACAGCAGCAGCAGCAGCAGCAGCAGCATCTGGCTGCACCTGCAAGGGAGCCTGCTGCTGCAGGGCCTGCTTTTGCCGTTGGTTCACCCGAGGCACTTCAATCAGCTTCAGCAGCGACTGCAGCAAATTTGTTGCAGCAGCAGCAGCAGCATCTATCGCTGCCTCATGAAGAAGCCGGCCCGCCTGCTGCAGCTGCTGCACCAGCCTCTGCTGCTGCTGCTGCACCAGCCTCTGCTGCAGCTGCCTCTGCCGAAGCTTCCGCTGCCGGCGCAGCAGCTACAGCACAGGACACAGGAGCGCCCGTCGCTGGGGCGTCCACAGAAACGGCAGCAGCAGCAGCAACAGCAGCAGGCGCAACGGCAGGGCCAGCCGCTGCAGCAGCAGCAGCAGCAGCAGTGGCAGCAAGACCAGCAGCAGCAGCAGCAGCAGCAGCACTGGGGCAGCTAGAAGAACCCAGCGACTCTGGGGAAGAACAAGGCATCCGAACTCCCCGCGTGGAGGAGAGTGGCTTGTCGCCGCTGCTGGGCCGTCTGAGTATTCAGAACTTTAACTGCTGCAGCAGCAGCAGCAGCAACAGCAGCAGCCCCGCAAGGTCGCCCAGCCCCTCACAGCAAGACAAACGCATGCGCCAGCTCAGAAACTTCGAGCGCCAGCAGCAGCGGGCACTCGAGGAAGAGTGCAGGCAAAGGGTCAGTCCTTTTGCTGCGCTGCAGCAGCAGCAGCAGCAAAGAAAGCAGCAGCAAGCATCACCTGCAGCCACTTCAGCTGCCCCCAAAATACCAACCCCTTTCCCCAACATGCGGGCAATACCGCAGCGCAGCGTGCCGCATATGCCCAGTGCTGCAGATGCATCGCAGCAGCAGCAGCAGCAGCAGCAGCAGCAGCAGGCTACGGAGTCGCCGTTTGCTTTTCTCTCATCTTGTGCTGCTATGGCAAGAAGGCGAAGGCCCTCATCTGCCTTTGCGAGGGCCTCTCCGCTGGCCAGCGCTGGCGCTGGTTTTGCTGCTGTTGGTTCTGCTGCTACTGCTGCAGATGGCAGTACAAGCAGCAGCAGCAGCAGCAGCAGCAACAGGATTTTCCGCCCGAGGTCTTCTGAGCTGACCCCTATTTTGGGTCGCATGAGTCTCGCTGAGCCCTCAGACACAGAGAGCGATGACAGTGGCGAGCAGCAGCAGCAGCAGCAGCAGCAGCAGCCGCAGCAGCCACAGCAGCAGCAACAGCAGCAGCAGCAGCAGCAGGCTAGCCTTTTGGCTGCGTCTGCAGCCAACAAGCTGGCCTACACAGCAGCTAGCAGCAGCCCCCAGCCAAAGGCCAAGTCAACTTCGCAGCGCCGCAGGGGTCAACCCCCCTCTGTTTCTCGACTTCCCAAGGCAGCAGCGGCCACCAGCAGCAGCAGCAGCAGCAGCAGCAGCAGCAGCCAGCTCAGCAGCAACGGCGGTGCCAGCAGCAGCTCCGTTCTCAAGGGCCCCATCAGGGCCATCGGCAAAGGCCGTGCTGCAGCAGCCAGGCGGGAGGCCCCATATCGTCGCCCGTGGGCCCCCACGCGACGGCAGCAGTCGCCAACCCCCCCAGCTGCTGCTGCAGCTGCTGCTGCTGCTGCTGCTGCTGATGCTGGACAAGGGACTGCAGCAGGCGCCGGCAGGCAGAGGCCAGCTGGAGCAGGCAGAAGTGCAGCAGCAGCAGGAGCTGCAGCAACGCAGGAGTCTGCAGCGCCAGTTAAAGCTGCAGCATTGTCGAAAAACAGCAGCAGCAGCAGCAGCAGCATCAGGTCTGCGGGCCGAGGCAGCAGCACGAGAGGGGCCTCTTGTGCTTCTTCTCAGAGGCAGCGGCAGCAGCTGCCGCTGCAGCACCCCCGAAAAGCAGGCTCTAGCAGCAATCTGCTAAAAGCTGGCAGCATCAGCAGCAGCTGCAGCAGCCTCCCAGCCAGCAGCCAGGGTTCTGCTGCTGGCAGCCGCAGCAGCCTCAGGGCTATTGGCATGCTGGAGCGTAAACGGAAGCAGAGTAGCAGCAGCAGCGCCAGCAGCAGCAGCAGCAGCAGCAGCAGCGTTGCTGGCCCCGCCTCGAAAGCCCGCCTCTGTCGCCTGCAGTCTTCCGGCTCTTCTATCCACAGCAGCAGCAGCAGCTCGGACCTGCTGCGCCCCAACAGCAAGAGCAGCAGCAACAGCCGCAGCAGCAGCAGCATCGGCAAAGCAGCAGCAGCTCACCAGCTGAGTCAGACCCCACAGCCCAAGAGGCCCCCAAGCGCCTCTGTGGCTTCTGCACGCCACAAGCCTGCTGCTGCCACGAGCACCAGAAACTTACTTGCCAGCAGCAGCAGCAGCAGCAGCAGCAGCAGCAGCAGCAGCGCCGTCACCAGCAGCAACAGCAGAAACAGAAGCTCCAGTGCAGCGGCCAGAAGCAGAGCTGGCGTCGCTGCTGCTGGAAAGTCACAAGGCGCCACTGCTGCGCGTCGAATGCATTCTTTGCCCAGCAGCAGCAGCAGCAGCAGCAGCAGCAGCAGCAGCAGCAGCAGCAGCAGTGGCGGCAGAAGCGTAGCAGCCAAGGCATCTTCGATACCAAATAAGGTAGACCGGAGCCAGAAACCGACGGCAGCAGCAGCAGCAGCAGCAGCAGCAGGTCAGAACGCCAGCAGCAACTTAGAGGGGCCCCAGCCCACTCCCCGCACCACTGCCCCACGGGGGGCCCCCTAGCCCCCTGGGGGCCCACAGGGGCCCCCCAGGCCCTGCAGCACCCCGTAGGGGCCCCCTAGGCCCCTCAGTGCCTCTTACAGGCCCAGGGGGGCCCCCTAGGCGCTGCTGCAGCTTAGAGGCCCAGGGGGGCCCCCCAGGCCCTTCAGTGCCCCTTAGGGGTTCAGGGGGGCCCCCAAGCCCCCCAAGGGCCCCCAAGGGGCCCCCAGAGTTCCCCCTAAGGGGGCCCCCAAAGGGGCCCTATCGGGCCCTCTAGGGGCCCCTAAAGGGGCCCCCATCAGACCCTCTAGGGGCCCCTAAGGGGGCCCCTTTAGGGGCCCCTAGAGGGCCCAAATGTGCCGCAGAGGCCAACAGTTTAGAGCCATTTGACTGCAGCTTTTTGCTTCTGCATTAAGCTAGTTTGTCCCTCAGGTGTACATACAGCTGCAGCTCAGGTGTATGTACACCTGGGAAGGGCGCATGCGCGCGGCAGTAACTGGGCGGAGAAGTAGCGGCAGCAGCAGCAGCAAGCAGCAAGCAACAGCAGCAGCAAGCAGCAAGCAACAGCAGCAGCAGCTAGCAGCAACTAACAGCAGCAGCACTGCAGCGGCAGCAGCACAAACAGGCCTCGCTGTGACCGAAGACAGCCATGAAAAGAGTCTTAGTTCCCTTGCACTCGAAGCGACAGCCCAAAACAGTTCTAGCTCGTCCCAAGCGCTGCTGCTGCTGCTGCTGCTGCGGCTGCTGCTGCTGCGGCAGCAGCAACTGTCGCAGCAGCAGCTGCAGCAAGCACTCAGCAAGAATATAATAGGCTGACTTCGCGCTGTCTCTAAAGCAACAAAGACAATTGTCGCAGGCGCGAATGGCATCAAACAAAGTCGACAATAAGTAGCAGATGAGTCCCCAAAGGCCAGCAGCAGCAGCAGCAGCTGCATCAGCAGCAGCAGCAGCAGCTGCTGCTGCTGCTGCTGCTGCCCAGCTGCAGCGCAGCGTCAGCTCCCCTCCCTCCGCCCGCAGCTGCTCCCTCAGTATCGGCGCATTTCTGCTGCGCGTCTCTCTTCGACAGAGACCTGTGGCGCCGTAGCAGCAGCAAAACAGCACCGCACGAACATCAGCAGCAGCAGCAGCAGCTGCTGCTGCTGCTGCTGCAGCAGACACGGCAGCAGCAAGACGGGTGGAGGCGGCCACAGAAACGCACTGAGGGCAGCCCCCAGAAGCTGCTGAGCGCGCACATGTCGCACTCAATGCGGCCAGCCGCAACAACAGCAGCAACAGCAGCAGCAGCAGCAGCAGCAGCAGCAACAGCAGCAGCAGCAGACGCACTGCATCGTCCGTATACATGAGTCGGGTTGACGCCGGCAGCACTGGAGTGGTAAAGACAGGAGGGGGGCCCGGGGGCACCATAGAGCTGCCGGGTGCTGCTCTGGAAGGAGCAGCAGGAGCAGCAGCAGCAGCAGCAGCAGCAGCAGCAGCAGCAGGTCCCGGGGGGCCCCCCGTTTTGGGCAGGCTGGGGGGCCCCTGGCCCAGCCCCGGGGGCAGGGGCCCCTGGCCCATCGCCGGGGGGGCCCCCCCTTGCTGCTGCGGCGGCTGCAGCATTCCCTGGGGCCCCGGGGCCCCCATCGGGTACCCAAACGGCGGTGGCTGCTGGGGGCCCCCAGGGGCCCCCCCCATGCCCTGAAGAGGCATAGCTGTTGCCTGCGAGACACAACAGCCGCACGCTTCTGCTGCTGCTGCTGCTGCTACTGCTGCTGCTGCGGCTGCTGCTGCTGCTGCTGCTGCTGCTGCTTACTTGGCTCAGCAGCCCCTGCAGATTTGGGGGGGCCGGCAGCGCCGGGGGAGCCGCGGCTCCTCCAGCCCCAAAGGACGGCACTGCAGCAGCAGCAAAAGCAGCAGCAGCAGCAGCAGCAGCAAACAAGAATGCAATAGTGGCAACGTCCCCGTGAGCCCTGCCTTCGCCTATTCTCTTCTTGCTGCTGCTGCTAACAGCGCCTTAGAGCTGCTGCTGCTGCTGCTGCTGCTGCGTCTACCGCTGCTCTGCTGCTGCTTCTGCTGCTGCTTCTACTACTGCTGCTGCTGTCCCGTGACCCGGGGTAATCTGACTCCACTGCCCGTCTGCTGCTGCGCTGCCTCGGGAGCAGCAGCAAAGCAGCAGCACAGCAGCAGCAAAGCAGCAGCACAGCAGCAGCACAGCAGCAGCACAGCAGCAGCCTCACGAGAAGCAGCAAGTCCAGGAATCACCGGCGTGGGAGGCACCCCCTCGAACTGCGGCAGCTGCCCCTGCTGCGCCAGCAGAATGAAATGCTCCAGAGTCGCCGGCGCCATCGTCACCTAAGCAGCAGCAGCAGCAGCAGCAGCAGCAGCAGCAGCAGCGGCAGCAGCGGCAGCGGCAGTGGGAGCGAGGCGGTGCAGGTGCGCCGGCAGGGGAGCGGGTGCAGCGGGAAAAGTGGCTGCAGCAAAGGTGGCTGCAGCAGCGGCTGCTGCTGCGGCAGCCGCTGCTGCTGCTGCTGCTGCTGCTGTTGCTGCTGCTGCAGCAAAGCTTTTGCTGCAGCAGCAAAGGCTCAACACCATCACCAAACCTTGCCATTTTGCGCAGAAAGTGGCAAACCCTTCTCTGTCACCCCCTACCCCTCAAGCCAGCCACACAACATCTTCAGCGGGCCCCTTGGGGGCCCCCTGGGGGCCCCTTGGGGGCCCCCTGGGGGCCCTCTGGGGCCCCCAACGACATCACAAGGCTTTGCTGCCCCCTTGGGGCCCCCCTGTGGGGCCCCTCCGGGGCCCCTCTGACCCCCCAGTACCCTCTCGACGTCTTTCAGGGCCCCCCAAAGCGCTGCCCTCTCAGCCCCCTTCAGAAGCCCCCTGGGGGCCTCCTCGGGGCCCCCCGGGGCCCCCCAGGGGGCCCCCAGGGGCCCCGAGGAGGCCCCCAGGGGGGCCCCTGGGGGCCCCTGGGGGGCCCCCAGGGCCCCCCGGGGGCCCCCGGGGGCCCCCCGGGGACCCCTTGGGGCCGAATTGTGGGCTCGAGTGGTTTAATTTACCTGCAAGAGGTGCACGGCGAGGCCGGTGGCAGTGTCGAGCTTTCTGCAGCAAATGCTGCACTTGAAGTGTTTGGCCTTTTGGTGCTGAATAAGAACTTTCTCATCATCGAAGCCTCTGTCGCAGTAGTAGCAGAAGGGCTTGACGCGAGAGCCTCTCTTCTTCTTGCGCCCCATTTTAGCTGCTGCTGCTGCTGCTGCTGCTGCTGCTCGCGCTGCTGCTGCTGCTGCGCGGCGCGGACAAGGCTCGGCAACTCGCAGCTGCAGCCACAAAGGCCGCGGGAGACACGCGAGGAGAAGGGATAGAGGAGGAAGCAACCAGCAGCTAATCGAAATGGAATGCAGCAGGAAAGCCAGCAGCAGCAGCAGCAGCTGGTGATGCTGCTGCTGCTCCTGCTGCTGCACTCCTCACCGGGGGGCGCTCCGTGCGCGGCCTGCAGCGGGAAGTCCAGCAGCGCGGCCTCCCCTCCTCCCGAAATGGTTAAAACCAGCGAACAAAAAAGAAGCAAAAAACAATACAGATGTCCTTTTCCAAAGAGCAAGCCAGCAGCAGCAGCGGCAGCAGCAGCAGCAGCAGCCGCAGCAGCAGCAGCAGCAGCGAGGGCTGGGCATGCGCCATCTCAGCAGGATCGTCAGCGCCGCATTACCTGTGGCATTCCTCGCCTGTTTGCATCTTTGTCGCTCTTTGTTGAGTCTTAATTGCATTTAAATAAAGAACTGAAAGGGAATAATTCAATTTTCTTTTCTGGAAACAAATAATGGAGAGAAACCCGCAATCAGAGTTCAAGTTCATAGTACAGTGGCTCGCAGCAGCTCACCACTGACCGCTGCTGCTGGCCGTGAGGCTCTCCTCTAAGCCGCAGCCTCCCCCTCATTTAGTCTATTATTTATAAATTATTATTTTAATATTTTTTTTAATTTAGATCTCCCAACTTTAAGGCATTTCCAGTGAAGAGCCCGGCGCTGTCCTGCCCCAGCTGCAAGGCTCTTTTCCCCGAAAGCGCCGCATGCGCAGCCAACAAGGAAAAATCCTGGAAAAGAATTGTTTGAGATGCACTAAGTCAAAATAAATGAATTCCAACACCACTAGCCCATTCACTAGGGTGCTCTGGCCCGAGCCTCCCACGCTGCACCGCTGCTGCTGCTGCAGCAGCGGCAGCAGCAACTGCAGCAGAGGTGTAAGGCAGCAGGTCTCACTAAGAGGCAGCAACTCACTGCTATGCTGAGACAAAGCTGCACGAACCAGAAATAGTGCAGGCTGAGAGCTGGGGGAAACTAAGAAGGCCAGCAAACGTTCTTGAACTAATTCTGCTGCTGCAGCTGTTTGTCTGCTGCTGCTGAAGCTGCTGCACTGCGCCTGCGGGTTGTGGCTAGCAGCAGCTCCCCCTTAGTTAAGACGGCCTCAGGCGCGTGAGTGGCTGCTGCACTTTAGGGCTGGCCCCACAGCTTGCAGCAGCTGCAGCAGCCAGCGCAGCCCTGCTGCTGCACAGCAGCAGTTGCTGCTGCTGCTGCCTCCAGCCACGCTGCAGCAGCAGCCGGATGCACTGAAAGCTGAGGAAGCAAAATTCTGGCAGAGGCAGCAGGCGAAAGGAAAAGATAAAGGCAGCAGAGAAGACAGAATAGACACAGAAAAAAAGACAAACTAATCTTCTCTTTGATTTTTAATTCAACATGAAACTGGCTGGCCCGAAGTTTTGCTGCTTTTGCTGCAGGCTGAGGGCCCCAGGGGGCCCCCAGCTGGGCCCCCCTTGTGTGGGGCCCCCTAATGTGGGGGCCCCCCGGGGGCCCCCCAATGTGGGGGCCCCCTCTAGGGGGTCTTCTGGGTGGGAGTCTGTGCTTATTTGTTTTGCTGCACTCTGTCTCTGTCTTTAATTCTCTTTTTATTTCTTCTGCGTCCTCTTTTTTAAATTCTTTTTCTGGTGTCCACTCCACCCTTTCCAAGCCTAGGAAAGCAACAGAAAGGACCAACCGCAGCAGCAGCAGCAGCAGCAGCAGCAGCAGCAGCCAGCAGCAGCAGCCAGCAGCAGCAGCAGCAGCCAGTAGCAGCAGCAGCGGCACTCTCGCTAGGGCAGCAAAGGCTGAGCCACCCGGGCCATTCTGTGCACAGCATAGCCTTGCTGCTGGTCTCGTGCTGCAGCAGCTTTTGCTGCACTTTGGCCTTTAAGAGCTGAAGACAAAGAAAACAAATAAAATAAAACAAATAAATTATTTAATTAAAACCCTTTTAGCTCAATTTAGAGGCCCCAGGTGAGGCAGCTGCCTCATTTCAGTGACCAGCTTGGGGCCCCCAGCCCCCACCTCAACAGTCTGGGGGCCCCTGGGGGCCCCCGGGGGCCCCCGGGGGCCCCCCTCCGGGGCCCCGGGGGCCCCCGCCATAGTTAAGATGCACTTTTTGACGCCTCTGGATTTATGGGGGACTCTTGGGGGCCCTGCTGCTCGCTGCTGATGGAACAGCATGGCTGGAAAGGCCCCTCACGGGATCCAGGTGACCCTGAGGCCCCGGGGGCCCCCCGGGCTTAGCCTCGTGTGCCTTTTTGCTGCAGTTGCTGCTGCTGCCTCTCTTTGCCTGTCTCCCCCGGGGCCCCCAGAGGCTGCAGGCTGCCTCTGCTTCGCAGCCAGCGCCCAAGGGCCCCTCAAGGGGCCCTCCAGGGGCCCCTTCGGGGGCCCCATCGGGGGCCCCCTCAAGGACCCTTTCCTGCAGCCCCCTCCTCGTCTCTACACCTTCTGCGCGGCCTCCCGCGGGGGCCCCAGGGAGGAGAAGGGGCCCCCGGGGCCCCGAGGGGCCCCTGGGGCCCCGGGGGCCCCGGGGGCCCCCGGGGCCCCCGGGGCCCCGGGGCCCCCGAAAGCTGGTGGGGGCAAAGAGTTGAGCCTGAGAGACTTGGGGTCTAACAAATGGCTGGCGCAGCAGCTGCACGAGTACGTGCAGGCCAAGGAGGCTGCAGAGAGGCGGGTGAGCAGCAGCAGCAGCAGCAGCAGCAGCAGCAGCAGCAGCAGCAGCAGAGAGGGGGAGAAGGGGCAGAGAGTCAGAAAAAGGAGAAAAAGAAATTGAAAGTCAAAGACAGAAAAGGCATTAAAGACAGAAGCTTGCTGCGAGTGTCTTTGTGTCTTTTTCTTTTTGTCTTTGACTCTTTTTGTCTTTAACTCTTTCATTTTGTCTTCTTTTCTTTTCTTTTCTTTCCTTTTCTCTCCTTTTTTTCCCTTTTTCTTTCCTTTCATCTCTTTCAATCTGCTTTCCCCTCTTTTACTCTCTTTTCGCTTCTTGTTGTCTCTTTTTGTCCCATTTTTTGCCTTTTTTTGTCTTTTTTTGTCTCTTTTTTATCTTTTTTTTGTCTTTTTTAATCTCATTTTTTGTCTTTTCTGTCCCATTAGCCTTTCCTTCTGCGCTGCACGAATTCGCGGCCCCTCTTTAGCCCCAAGGGGCCCACAACAGTGCTGCTGCTCTCTCCTTGCTGCTGCTGCTGCTGCTGCTGCCCTACCTCCTTGCTGCTGCTGCTGCCCTACCTCCTTGCTGCTGCTGCTGCTGCCCCACGTCCTTGCTGCTGCTGCTTTAACTCCTTGCTGCTGCTGCTGCTGCCCTGTCCTTTGCTGCTGCGCCTACTGCCCTGTCTATTTGCTGCTGCGCGTGCTTCTCTGTCTACGTGCTGCTGCTGCCGTCTTTCCTTGCTGCTGCCCCCCTATCTGTCTTTTTGCTGCTGCTCCCTTCTCTCCTTGCTGCTGCCTTCCTGTGTCATTGTTGCTGCTGCCTTCCTGTCTCCTTTTTGCTGCTGCTCCCCTGTCTGCTGCTTTCCAGTACCCTTTGCTGCTGCACTTCTGGGGGCTTCCTTTTTGCCTAGGGGCCTTTTGTGTCTGTCCATGTCCAGGGCCACTGGGGGGCCCCTAGGGGCCCCCTTAGGGGCCCCTTAGAGGCCCCAAGGGGCCCCCTTAGGGGGCCCCTAGAAGCCCGTTAGGGGCCCTTCTGGGTCTTTTCAGGGCCCCCTTTGAGGCCCTTTCGGGGCCCCCAAATGGGCTTTTTCAGGGGCCTTCTGTCCTGCTGCTGCTCCTATCTTTTGCTGCTGCTGCTCCTGCCTTTTGCTGCTGCTGCAGCGAGCCTACCTGCTGCCCAGAAGGCGGCGGCTGCCGCTGCAGAACTTCCACGAGAACACAAGTGTGCTGGGAAGGGTGAGGGGCATTTGCCGCTGCTGCTGCTGCTGCTGCTGCTGCTGCTGCTGCTGCTTCTGCCTCTCCCGCAGCGCAGCACAGAGCCCTCTCTTCCCTTCGTGTCTATATCGCGATGTCTGTACAGCTTCTCTTTGTTCCTTTTGTTCTTTTGTTTCCTTTTTGTTGTTTTTTTTCTTTTTATTTTGCCTTTCTCCGCGCCTCCTCGCGGAGGGCCCAGGTGTACGTACACCCGGGAACTCCGCCTTTTTTCAGGTCATTTCAATAATGCCTTATGGCTGCCGCGTCGACGTGGGGTGTACAGACACCTTGGGCTTCCTCCATGTCAGGGACATGCATTACCTCCCAAGGGCCCTCCAAGCTGGTGCTTCCTTCCTCAACTCCCCGGGGGCCCCAGGGGCCCCCGGGGCCCCAGAAGGGGCCCCAGAAGGGGCCCCAGAAGGGGCCCCAGCAGGGGCCCCAGAAGGGGCCCCAGCAGGGGCCCCAGCGGGGGCCCCCGAGGCCCCTGCAGGCGGTGTAGAAGGGGCCCCAGAGGCCCCAGCGGGGGCCCCAGAAACCCCAGCGGGGGCCCCAGAAACCCCAGCAGGGGCCCCAGAAGCCCCAGCGGGGGCCCGGGGGGCCCCCCTAGGGGCCCCGGGGGCCCCCTTAGCGGCCGCGGGGGCCCCCCTAGGGGCCCCGGGGGCCCCCAGTGTGGAGGGTGCGACGGAGGGGTGGATAAAGCACGCGGGAGATGTGCTGCGGGTGGGAGACGCGCTGTGCGTGCACATAAAGAGTATAGACAGAGAGGGGCGGCGCATGCGGCTGACTACAGTGCCTTCGCCAGCCACTGCCAAAGGGCACTCCCCGCGAAAACCAGTGGAGGCCTTCTGGGTAAGACTCCTTCGGGGGCCCCTAGGGGGCCCCCGGGGGCCCCCGAGCTGGGGGCCCCAGGGGGCCCCCTGACTGGGGCCCCCAGCTGGACCCCAGGGACCCCGGGCTAGACTCAGACAGGCCCAGCGCCCGCAAACCCTAAACCCTAAACCCTAAACCCTCGCGCTGCGGGGGAGGCCTGGGCGGCGTGCGCGCTGTGTGGGGCCTGGGGCTGCAGGTGGGACAGGAAGTGGAGGGCACAGTGCTGAGGTGTACAGAGTTTGGACTTTTTCTGGACATTGGGGCTGTCGAAGACGCCTTTCTGCATGCAGTGAGCTCCCCCAGAGGCTGCCCCCTACACTTGCTGCTGCTGCTGCTGCTGCTGCTGCTGCAGCAACTGGGAGTCTGGCCACTACCTGCGCGCCCCTTGCTGCTGCCCCAGAAGGACCCAGCGGGGCCCCAGGGGGCCCCAGGGGGCCCCAGAAGGCCCCGGAGGTCCCCAGGGGGCCCCAGAAGGCCCCGGAGGTCCCCAGGGGGCCCCAGAGAGCCCCAAGCAGGCCACTAGCAGCAGCGCAGCAGCAGCAAAGCGTGTGCGTGCTGCTGCAGAACGAAGTTGGAAGAGGAAACAGCTGCGACGACGTGCAGGAGCTGTTCCGGCGCTTCAAGAAGAGCCGGGGGGGCCGGGGCCGGCGCTGCCCCCCTGCGGACCCTCTGGGGCCCCAGGGGCCCCCCGACGGGGGCCCCGCGGAGGCCCTGGGCTGCCGCACGGGGGACACTTTGAGGGGCCTCCGGGTCTTAGAGATCGACGCCAGCCGCAGCAGGTGCTCATTGTGGGGCTTTCCAGCCCCTAAGTTGCATGCACTGGCACTTCGCCGCAGCCCTGACTCCACAGGGGGCCCCCCAGGGGGCCCCTCAGGCAGCCCCACAGGAGGCCCCACAGGGGGCCCCATATGGGGCCCCACAGGGGGCCCCATAGGGGTCTTCACATGAGGCTTCACGGGGGAGACCTCCAGGGGCCCCCACAAGGGGGGCCTCATAGGGGGGGCCCCCACAGAATTTGCCCCAGAGGGGCCCGCAGAGTCAGTAGGGGCCCCCGCTGTAGAGCTCTCAAGGGTGCTGCGTGTGTCTGCTGCTGCTGCTGCTGCTGCTGCTGCTGCGTCGGGCTGCGCAGGATTCAGCTGACGACGCGCTGCGAAGCAGAAGTGCAGCGGCTGCAGCAGTGGAAGCAGCAAATGCTGCAGATGCAGGTGGGGGCCCCCCCGAGGGAATCACCGGAGGAGAAGTTTGGGAGGATTGGGGCTGCGCTGAAGCTGCTGGAGCGGCACCGAAAGAAGCAGCAGATGCAGCAGCAAGGGGCCCCCGGGGCCCCCGGGGCCCCCGGGGCCCCCGGGGCTGCGGGGGCCCCCGGGGGGCCCCCTGCTGCTGCTGTTGTTGTGACCCCGCCCAAGAGGCACACTGGGCAGGGGGCCCCCACGGAGAAGCAGCTGCAGGTCCTTTTCCCCGGCTATACTGCAGCAGATGTTGAGGAGGCCCTTTCTTTGCTGGAGGCGGAGAAGAGGCGAAAGGAGCTGCTGCTGCTGCAGCAGCAGGAGCGAAGGGCCCGCAAGCGGCATCCCAGGTCCCCCCAAATGCCCTGCTCTCTTCTGCTGCTGCTGCTGCTGCTGCTGCTGCTTCTTTGCCAAATGCTCCCTGCTGCTGCTGCTGCTTCTCGAAATGCCTGCTACCGCGACTGCTGCCTCGTCAAATCCTCCTGCTGCTGCTCCTGCCTCCGCAAACGCTCCTTGCTTCTGCTGCTGCCCCTGAGGCTGCTTCCTGCTGCTGCCGCCGCGCCTCGGGCTGCTGCTGCTGCTGCTGCTGCTGCTGCGTAGCCTCCTGCGGGGCGCTTGCTGCTGCTTCTCAGGTTCCAGCGCCGCAGCGCAGACGACCTCAGCCTGCAGGAGGCGCGGCAGCTGCTGAAGGAAGAGTCGGGGCTGGTGACTCCTGAAATGCTGCAGCAAGATGCTCAGCAGCAAGCTCGCCGGGCTGGATTAGCAGCAGCAGAAGTCCCGGTCTTCGGGCCTGACGGGCTGCCCAAGATGCAGCAAGTGCCTCTCAAGAACTTGCTTCCCAGCCCGAACAAAAAACAGCCTGCTGCTGCTGCTCGCACGCCTGCTGCTGCTGCTGCAGCGGGGAAACCTGCTGCTGCTGCTGCGGCGGCGGCGGCGCCGCCAGAAACCCCTGCTGCAGCGCAGGCTGCTGCCCCACAGGCGCCCGCTGCAGCAGCAGCAGCAGCAGGTGCAGCAGCAGCGCAGGCACCTGAAGCAGCAGGTCCAAATCCCTCACACTCGGAGGGCCTCGAGAAGCAGCAAAGCCTCGAGGAGGAGCTGGAAGTCCCTGCAGAGTTCCTGCAGCGGGAGCTGAGGGCATACGGGGGCCCCCAGGAGCCCGGGGCCCTGGGGGCCCCCCAGGCCCAGGGCCCTGGGGGGCCCCCAGGGGCCCCCCCGGCCCCCCTGGGGGCTGCAGAGCCCCCCGGCGACCAAGGGGAGGACTTAAGTGCTGCTGAAATTGACTCTTTTTTCGCCAAGTCGGAGGCCAAACTCCTCAAGTCCCTCAAACAAGGAAGACGCAGAAGAGTAGACAGCGCCACAGCAGCAGCAGAACAGGAAGAAGTCCGGGAGCTCATTCAGATGGAACGCAGGGCGGCCCAGCGGGCCCTTGCAGGGGGCCCCAGGGGGGCCCCCACAGGGGCCCCCAGGGGGGCCCCCAGGGGGGCCCCCAGGGAGGGGCCCCTTGCTGCTGCCGTGGAAAAAGGAGAGACTCTGGGAGAGATTTCTCAGTCGGAGGTTCTTGAGACTATCAAAGAGAGGCTGGAGGAAGAGCCCGAGCTGAGCCGGGAGCTGGAGCTGCGGGGGAAAACCCCAGAGGGTTTAGCAGCAGAAATTCAAAAGATCTTGACAGACGTCACAGGTGGGGCCCCCAGCAGCAGCAAATGCCAACAGCCTCGCAGGCAGAGGCTGGCAGCCAGGCCCACAGCTGCTGCGGGAACCCGGGCGGGAGAAACCGCTGCTGCTGCCGCTGCTGCTGCTGCTGCTGCTGCTGCTGCTGCTGCTGCTGCTAAGGCTGCTGCTGCCGCTGTTGTGGGGGTGTTTGCAGTTCCCTCCGCTGCGAGCTCCCTGCTGGGCCTGCAAGACGGTGGGTCTTCTAGGGCTCAGAGATTTCTCTAGGTTTTGCTGTTTTTGCCTACCCCTAGCCCCTGCAGCAGCAGCAGCAGCAGCAGCAGCAGCAGCAGCAGCAGCCTCTTTAGTGCGTCTCTAGTTCCATTGCTGCGCCCGTCTGCGTCTGCGTCTGGCCCAAGTGGAGCAAGGAGGACAGCAGGAGCTAAAGTGCTGCCGCTGCTGCTGCTGCTGTTGCTGCTGCTGTTGCTGCTGCTGTTGCTGCTGTCTCAGACTTCGCAGACCTCATTCAGCCCAGAGCAAAGCGCAGAGCCAAAGAAGACTCATTATTCCCTCGTGAGTTGCTGCGCCTGCATTTCTGCAGAGTCCCCTGTCTTTGTTTTAAATGTTTATGGCCAGACTTTTGTTTATTTGTTTCCATTTATTCAATTTATTTCTCCTTTTTTCTTTGAATTTCGTGCCAAAGGACTGGCTGGAGGGGCCCCGGGGGGGCGCTCATGCTGCTGCTGCGCTGTGCTGTTTTGCTGCTGCAGCGGGCGGGCGCTCCCGCCGCCGCAGCAGCCGCCAGGGCCCTCTCCAGCCAGAGGGCCCCCTGGGGGCCCCCCAGGGGGGCCCCCCGGAGCCCCTTGGGGGCCCCCAGGGGGACTTGGAGGACGACGAAGAGGGTTTTGTTTCCCCTTTCTTCCAAATGACCGAAGAGACCCCTGAGGGGCCCCTTGCCCCCGCTGAGGGGCCCCTTGGCCCCGCTGAGGGGCCCCAAGATGCTGAAGAGGGAGATGGGGGGCCCCCAGGGTACTCGGGTCCGGAGAACCCCCTGCTTAGCTCTCTGCGGGCCCGGCGGCAGCGCCTGGCCCGCAGGGCCCGGAGGGCCCCTGGAAAGCAGCGGGGGCCCCAGGGGGCCCCCGCTGCCTCTTCGACCCTCCCTAGGGGGCCCCAGGGGGCCCCTCAGGGCCCCTCAGGGCAGCAAGGCGGGGAGCCAGCCCCCAGGCCCCCTCAGCAGCCAGCCCTGGACCTGGACCTTCCTCCTGGGGGGCCCGTGGAGGCCAGGGGGCCCCCTGAGGGCACAACTGCTGGGTCTCAAGAGCAGCAGCCCACGGCTCCAGGGCCCCCAGAGGATCTCCTGCTGGGCCCCACAGACAGCCCTGCCTGGCCCAGGACACGGGCAGGGGCCCCCTTCAGGGAGGGGGGGCCCCTCTTCAGGGAGTGGGGGGCCCCCTTTAAGGAGGAGAAGGCCCCCTTTAGGGGGAAGGGGGCCCCCTTTAGGGAGGAGGGGGCCCCCTTTAGGGAGGAGGAAGCCGCCTTCGGGGAGGTGGGGGCCCCCCCGGTGTCTGCAGTACAGGAAAAAGGGGGTTCACCCTCTATGCGGAGCGCACTCTCGCGCGCCCGCCGAAAAGCAGCAGCAGCAACTGCTGCTGCTGCTGCTGCAGCGGGGGGCCCGCGGCGCCGGGGGCCCCCGGGGGGCCCCCCACGGCCGGGCAAGCAGCTAATTGGCCGCCCGGCTGAAAAAGCTGCAGGCCGTGGCTCTGGCCTGCAGCTCCCAAGTCGGGGCCCCCTGAGAGAGCCAGATGCTACTCAGGAAGCAAAAGCTGGAGCAGCAGCAGCAGTGCTGCACCCTCGGAGCAGCAGGGGCCCCAGGAAGTCTGATATACTTTTGCTGCCACCCGAGAGCAGGGCTGGGGGGCCCCTCTCCGAGGAGGGGGGCCCCCGGCCTGTGCGCTCTCTTGCTGCGCTGCGCAAGCTGCTGCAGAAGCAGCAGCAAGCCAGCAGCGGGAAGGAGCTGCTGCTGCGCAGCACAAAGGCCAAAGGCAGCAGGGGCCCCTCCGAGAAAAAAAAGTAGCGAAGCAGCCCCCCGTGGCTCCATTTTTGTAAACATTTGATGTCAAATTGTCTCTATTAATGTTATTTTGTGCATTTTTAAAATAGTTTTTGTAAAAGTCTACACGTAGCAAAGGGGGCCCCCCAGGGCTTCACAGGGGCCCCGTGCTGACTGCAGCAAAACTTGACAAGAAGGGCGTGCTGCGGTTGGCTTTGAGCAGCAGCAGCAGCTCCTGTTTCGAGTGTGCCGGAGCAGCAGCAGTTTGCGTTGCTGCTGCTGCTGCAGCAGCAGATGCTTCTGCAGCAACGCCCTTAAGACACAAAGGCGAGGCTAAGAGCTTGTTGTCTTTAACTCAGAAACTTGGCGCTGCTGAGGGGCCAGAAAGGCAAGGTGCATGGCCCCGTGAAGGCCACAAACCCTAAACCCTAGCCCCTAAACCCTAGCTTCTAAACCCTAAGCCCAAACTTCTAAACCCTAGGCCTCCAAAGCCCAGCATAGGCTGGTCTTGCCTAAGTAAACGTTTCTCTCCTTAAAGCCTCTTAGGCAGCTCACAGCGGGGCCCCGCAAAAGGGGCCCCAGTGGATTTTTTCTATCGTTTTTATGGGTAGTTCAGACAAGCAGTTTCTGCAGCGATTGCCGCCAAGTGTAGGCCCTTTTGACTCCGGTGGAGCTGCAGCGCAGCACTGAGTGCCAACAATTAGGGCTGGGGCGCTGCAGTGCGGGTTGGGGGCCCCTTAGGGTCCCGCCGCCTGGGCTGGGGGCCCCCGGGGGGCCCCCAGACCCCATGCCTTACACATGAAATGAGTGTGTGAATGGGATTTACGCTATTAAGCTCCCAGCTCTACCCTCGCAATGTTGTAAAGGAGTCTGTAGGAACTGCTCTTTATTCTTTTTCTTTACCTCTGAAACAAATTAAGCCTCACTAGCCTTGCAAACGGCCTTTAAGTTCGCCAGACAAATGACATATAAGCTACTACCGAAGTGTTAAGAGGAAGCAGCTGCCACAACGCTGGTCCCCATCAGTTTCCCCCATGGGGCCAAAAGGAAGAAATTGAAAGCTTTATTTTTAGCTAATTAAATTGAACAATTTAAATTGCATAATTTCCTTCAAAGTTAACTGCAAGGGGAGCTGCCGAAGAGGGCGGCGGTGGCTGCGCTGCCTGTGCCATGGTCATTTTCTTCGCCTTTTTCTCCCCTTTACCTTTGCCGGGATCTAAGAACTCGAAAATTGCATTAAATGGCATTCAATTAGTTCCATTTGCTGACATTTTGGAGAAAATGACGCATTCAAATGACCCAAGAGTGAAGGGTAATGCTGGCGCATCGATGAGCTGGTCTGGTGACTGGGCGCGGCTTCAAACCGCGTGGCGCCTCGCGGCGCAGGGGTTCGATTCCTCCTTCGGTGCGGTTGAACATTAAATTCCAAAACAAAAAGAGACAAACAAATGAACGATTAACATTTTCTAAGATACTGGAAGAGTAAAATTTATAAATATTCATATCTGCAATGCTCCATTTAGAACGCTGCTGCTACACTCGAGCGGTTACTACAAAGGATGTACCATTATAATAAAGCAGAACACTGTTTTATACATATATATATATATAATAAAGCAGAACACTGTTATATACATATATATATATATATATATGTGGAGGAGGTACAATTTAATAGAGTAGAAAGCACCTGAATAAATCAAATACACTCTCAAAATGCAGAATGCTTCGCTAAAAAAGTATATACAAGCATAGAATGAGCTAGCGCAGCAATTTAAGAAAGTCCTGTGGGGAGTTAAGAGCTGGCGGCCCTGGCCCAGCTTTTGGGTCTTGTCCAGCTTTTCGAGGCTTTTTGCTGTTTAAGGACTTCAATTCTATGCAGCAAATCCTGCTTCTGCAAAAAAGGTAATGCAATATATCAATATAATACATTAAGGAGAGAAATTAAAGCTCAGGTAGAACCCGAAAGAGACAAAGAAGAAAAAACAATGGACCAGAGACAGGCTCTGGGTCTATGCCCTGTACAGCTTCCTGGGGGCCCCTGGGGGCCCTCCTAAGGGCCCCGGGGGCCCTTCGTTAGGGACCTTGGGGGCCCCCTTAAGGGCCCGTGGGGGCCCTCAGGAGGGCACCCAGGGGCTCCCGTGGAGCCGCAGCCTCAGCTGCTGCCTCTATAAAGGCTGAGCGCTATAGCAGGGGCCCCCACGGCTCCTGCACGTGCAAGACGTGGGCAAACCCTAAACCCTAAACCCTAAACCCTAAACCCTCGCTCCACACACTGAGTACTTGACAGGGAGCTCCACTGGTTGCGGGAGTCGCTTATCATTGCATGCAAAACGAGTGGGTACTGCTTTGCTGGCTTTGGCGAGTGCCCCGGAAGCAGCGGGGGCCCCTCAGGCAAGATGGGGGCCCCTGCGACAAAAAGGGGGCCCCTGAGACAACACGGGGGCCCCCGGGGCAGGAGGGGCCCCCGCACAAGAGGGGCCCCCCAATGCGGGAGGGTACGCAGAGGATCTTGTCTTTTGTGTCTTTTCTTTTTCTCTTTTGGGTCTCTGAAGAGACTTTTGTCTCGGCGGAGCAGCAGCAGCAGCAGCTGCTGCTGCCGGTTAGGCGAAGGGGGGGCCCTGCAGACGCAGCAGCAACAGAGGCTCACAGACGCTCGCTGGGGAGTTTTAGCTGGCAAGCAGCAGCAGCAGCAGCTGCTGCTGCTGCTGCTGCTCTCAGCCGCAGGGTGCATGCAGAAAGTCCCAAGGCACCCGAAAGCCGCACGCTAGAGCACTAGGCACAGCAGCAAATCGCTGCAACACTGCTGCAGCAGTGGAGGCTGCAGCACTGCAGCACTGCTGCAGCAGCGAAGACTGCAGCAGCAAGCAGCAGGAATTGCCAAACGCACGTCGGAGGCCTCAGGCCGCAAATGGAACTCTTCGTAAGTCCGCGCGCAAATCAAGTAATGCACTATCAAGGGCGACGCGCTCCCTGGCAAGCAGCAGCAGCAGCAGCAGCAGCAGGCATACTTCCAGCAGCAGCAGCAGCAGTCCGTGCAGCAGCAGCAGTCCGTGCAGCAGCAGCAGCAGCAGTAGCTGCAACACAGGAAGCGTTTACCCGCAGCCCAAAAGCACGGGAAACTCCCCCAACCTCGAGCTACCCTCGTTTGCACGCCCAGGGGTGACACCAGCAGCAGCAGCAGCAGCAGCAGCAGCAGAAGCAGCAGCAGCAGCAGCAATGGGCGGCAGTTGTCTTTGCGCCTACCGACAGACATCAGCCTCTGCTCCACAGCGCTTGTGAAGGCTGCGCATCCCTGGGGAACCTCTGGAGCAACAAGTGAGTCCCCCGAAGTTCCAGCCTGCTCGCTGCTGCTGCTGCTGCGACTGCTGTTGCTGCTGCTGCTGCTGCTGCTGCTGAGTGCAGGGGCCAGCCACACCACCTGGCGAAGGCCAGCAAACATGTGGGGCGGCAGCAGCAGCAGCAGCTCCAGGTCCTCGACCAACAGCACCTGGGGAGACGCAGCGCACAGCGATTAGGCGGCCTTGGCCACCAGCAGCGGGAGCTGCTGCTGCAGCAAGGAGCTGCAGCAGAAGCAGCAGCTGCAGCGAAGCCGGAAAGCAGCAGCAACAAAGGGCAGCAAGGAGCAGCAGCAAAGGCCACAAACCTGAACCTGAGAAAGACAAGCCCTCTTAAAGTCCCGCAGCTTCTGAGTTGCTGCCAGCGCGCTGTCACCTTTGTCTATGACCAGCGGCCGCGGCAGCAGCACATCCCGCAGCAGCAGCCCCATGCTGCTGCGGGGCCCCACAGTGAGGGGCAGAGGGTTTAGCAGCAGCACTTTGGCCCGCAGCGCCTCTTCTCGAGACACGCCGTCCGCCGGCGGCTCGGGGGGCTTCTGGCCTGCTGCTGCTGCTGCTGCTGCTGCTGTTGCTGCTGCTGCTGCCGTCCGCAAGTCCTCCAGGTGCCGGCACAGCCATCTGCGCCATACACAGCCAGCAAAGCGCAGCAGCAATGCAGCAGCTGCTCCTGCAGCGGCGGAAAAGCAAAACAGACCAAACCAAGTCGCAGCTTGAGCTGCTGCTGCTGCAGCAAATCAGCAGCAGCAGCAGCAAGAGCGCGCACGCGCAGCCGCCGCTGCAGGAGCGCGTTTGTGCGCCCGCAGAGCAGCAGAGGGAGCCTCACGTGAGCTTGCTGCTGCAGCGGACCATGTGCTGCTGCAGCAGCTGCTGCTGCAGCAGCCCCAGCTGCAGCGCTACATGCGCAGCTTCCCACTGCCTCCACCTGCACACCCGCCGCCGCAGCGCCTCTTTTCGCTGCTTGCTGCTGAGGCTGCGGCCGATGGGCACTGCGACGGCCAGGGCCTCCAGCAGCCGCTGCAGCAGCGCAGCAGCACAGCAGCGCAGCAGCGCGGTGCAGCAGCGGCAGCAGCGCAGCCAGAGGCGCAGCAGAAGCAGCAAACAGCACGCAGCAGCGGCCCATTGGCTATAGAAGAGACAAGAGAAACTGCTGCGCCCAGCCCAGAGCCTCCAAGTTGCTGAGCTGCTGCGAACTGTCACTTTGCTGCAGCTGGGTGCAGCCAGCAGCAGCTGCTGCTGCAGCAGCAGCAGCGTTTGCCCCGGCAGCAGCCCAGCAGAACAAACAGCGAGCAGCTTACCCCTACTCTAGGTCAGGAGCAGCGGCAGCAGTAGCAGCGCCAACAAATGCAAAGGTGAAGCAGCATTCTAGCAGCAGCAGCACTAGCAGCAGCAGCAGCAGCAGCAGCAGCAGCAGCGCCAGAAAGGACCCACCTCGAGCAGTTCAGGTGTCACCAGAGGCATGTCTCCCTCTTCTGGGTCAGCAACATCATCTATGCTGCTGCTGCTGCTGCTGCTGTTGCTGCTGCTGCTGCTGCTGCTGCCGCTGTTGCTGCT